ACTGTCGGAGTACACGTGCCAGAGTCCACCAAAGCTGGAATAAGCCGGGTCCCACAGGCTACCTCCACCAGATCAGACACTGACCCAGTGAAGGGGTGGGGAGGTCCTCCCCAGATGTTGCAGGGACTTTGCCAAAGGGCTTATGGAGTAGCAAGGAGGGGCATGAGCAGGGCCGTGTCTAAGTGATGACAGCGGTAATGGGACTGTTGTCCTCAGTTCAGATCAGAACCAGCATTCACTGAACTCTGCACTATGTAGAACCTCTTTTTTTTTTTTTTTTTTTTGGTTTTGTTTTTTTGATACAGGGTTTCTCTGTAGCTTTGGAGCCTGTCCTGGCACTCACTCACCAGGCTGGCCTCAAATTTACAGAGATCCACCTGCCTCTGCCTCCCGAGTGCTGGGCCACCACCGCCTGGCCCAGAACAAGGCCCAGTAATAACAAGGCTGCTCATGCATTCCCCTGGGATAAAAGTAATACAAACTCAGATGCAGCATCTCACTATTTCTGTCACTAACTGCCAGTTACTGTCACCATAAAGCAGCCAGCTGTCTCAAACCCTGTGCCATGGCCAGTACAAAGGGAAAATTTGTTTAAGTGGAAAATAAAAACATTTACATAAAAAAGAATTGTGCCAGGCTTATATAATGTCTATTGCTTTACAATATCCTTCCTGCTCATCTTCCCTCGGAGAAATTGCTTTAAAAAGTGCCTTGTACTGGAATAGGTCACTCTCACTGGGATAAAGCAAAACCAACCTTAGCTAGCCTTAGCTCAGCCACAGCCACTCTGCCTCAAATGGGAGCATGGCCTTAGCTAAGACAATCAGAACCCTCCAGAAGACTTTTCTGCCTGGATTGACTGGCTAGAGCTGCCCTCCCTTTCTACTGAGGACCAGTGAACACAAAGTCCACTGAGACCCAAGGCTACACTTCAGGCCTATGGAAAAGGTCATAGGGTTCAGGGATAAACTGTACCTCATCTAAGGTTTTACAATATAGTTGTAGTCACTTAACACTAGGGTAACATTCTGCAACAGATATATTTAGGTGATTTCACTATTATATAACCATCATGGGGTTTACTTATATTACTTATATTATTTAAGTAATATGATCTTATGAGACCACTGTCAGACATGTGGCCTATAAGAAATGTCATTATGACTGTATTATATATCAATAAGTTGTCCTTTTTGCCTAATGTGGTTTGAGCCAAGTTTTCATGGTGCCTTGAACAGAGAGAACTAACTACAACCTGCCCCCATTTAGAAACCTCAACAACCAGCCGGACGTTGGTGGAGCATGCCTTTAATCCCAGCACTGGGGAGGCAGAGGCAGGCAGATCTCTGTGAGTTCGAGGCCAGCCTGGTCTACAGAGTGAGTTCCAGGACAGCCTCCAAAACAATACAGAGAAACCCTGTCTCGAAAAAAAAAAAAAAAAAAAAAAAAAAAAACCTCAACAACCATGCTCAGGTTCCTCTGCCACTTCTCTGCAAATAGCACAACTCTGAAAGTCAATGATAACTGGAGCTTATACCTCTGCTCCTTCCCCCCACTGGGAGAGTGGACTGAGTAAAAGGAGCTTGTGCCCAAAGGCAGAAGAAAACAAAAGGTCTGGTAATCATCACAAAATAATGCATAACCCACACCTGACAACACAAAGCAATCCCACTAGTCTCTGAAGAGCCTGGCAGGGTTACCCCTTTTCAAATGAAGAAGGAAGGGAGGTGGCTGTGGTGGCTCACCCCTGTAATCTCCGTGTTCAGAAAGCCGAGGAAGGAGGACTCGCACAAGCCTGAAACCAGCTCGGGCTACAGAGCAAAAAGACGGAAAGTCTTCCAGCCTCACCTTCTACAATGCGTGTATCGCAGGTAACGTCCAAACCTGTCACCGAACCTAGAGCCACAGTTCTCTGAGACCTCCTCACCCCACATGCGCTCAGAACCAATGCCAGTTCTCACGGTCCCAGCTCCTAACCGCTGTAGCCTGGAAACACAGTCCTTACAGTGCCTGCCACCTGCCCTCCATCCCTCTCCACATTCTGAGTTCCCCTTCAGGGGGCTGCAGAGATGGCTCAGTGCTTAAGAGCACTGTTGCTCTTGCAAAGGACCCTGGTTCAATTCCCACCACCCACTTGGCAGCTCCCAACCATTTGTAACTCAAGTTCCAGGGAATCTGACACTCTCTTGTGACCTCCACAGGCACCAGGCATGCACATATAAAACGCAGGACAAATACACATATGATGGGGGATGTCCCTCTGTATATACGTTTTTCTTATTGGCTGATGAATAAAACACTGATTGGCCAGTAGCCAGGCAGTAAGTACAGGCAGGGCTATAGGAAGAAGAATCCTGGGGAGAGGGAGACAGAAAGAAGCCACCAGAGAGACACCACATAGCTACAGAGGAAGAAAGAGGACCAGGCAGCATCCTTAAGCCCAAGACCATATGGAAACACTTAGATCAATAGAAATGGGTTAACAACTAACAGAGAACTAGCCAATAAGAAGTCTGAGCCATCAGCCAAACAAGTTATCATTAATATAAGCCTTTGTGTATTTATTTGGAGCTAAATGTCTGTGGGACCAGGTGGGACAGAACCTCCGTCTACACATACACAAAAATTAAACAAATCTTTAAAAAAGAAACAAAAGGCAAGATCCTTTTCGTCTCCGGCTCAAATACCAGTCCATCCTCCAATTTTTATGCTATGCCATTCTCTTCGTGTCAGTGACAGCAAGTCAACCACTCTCTAGGGAATAAAGAAGTGGCACAGGCAGGAGGGACAGGGCAGGACAACTCAAAGCACACGGGTGGCAAGATCCAGCAGGCAGCCAACTTCTGTCTTTCGAGAGCAGCCTGGCACACAATAATTTAAGGAGTCCTTGACATTTAGATGGCAATTAGTCAGAGCCCTGAGGCGCGGACGGCCGCGCTAGAAGATAGACAGTACACAGTCGTAAGAAAGCGTGCATTCTGTCACTCAATAGATCCTGCTCCCCTAAAGTGTCCCATTGCCTCAACAAGGCATCAAGATGCATGAACACACCCCTGCTGCCGGCCTCCAGCCCACCAAGTCAAGCCCCAGGGCTGGGCACCTCATCCCTGCCTGAAGACTACTGCCCCTTGAGGGCTGAGGCAGGCTGCAGGCACAGAAGCAGAGCTTGGGGATCTTTGTGAGAGATCAAAACTTACAGTCAAATTCACAAGAGAAACACAAAAGGGGTAGTCATATTCAACCCAGGAGACCCCAGTCACCCAGTAAAGGGCAGTTCTAACCTCTCACTGCTACCAGCTGGGGCAAAGGAATTTGCTTCCTTCCCTACAAATCCTTGTGTGAGCAAGACATCAGAGTTCTTCATGACCAATAATCATGTTAGCATGGTCAGCTAATAGGAGGAGCCAGCAAGAAGAGGGAGGCTCCTGGTGTCTGTCACCTTCCTACTACTCTCTGATCTTCCCTGTTATCTGACGCCTGGCCCGGGGAACGAGTGGAAGGAAGATGTTAGGACACTGCTCTGTGACACTGGGTTTGCCACAAGTCCGTGAGATGGGAAAGGAAGACACAGCATGCTGAACATGAGTCCCAGAACAGAAGCCCCTGCTTCACCCTGAACCCTCCCCTGTGCTTCTCCAAACACAGGAGTACAAGACACACAGACACCCACTGGCTCACACACCATGTCACCTTGTCCACAAAACGCTCCAGATAGGTCTTGCCATATCAACTGCTACACTAATTTCTTCTAGCCTATTAAATAACCTCCGTGACAATTATTTTTCTGAGGATTTGGTGACTCTCTTTGAACCCATAGAATTCTAAAGTATATGGAAATAGATCAAAAAGTCACAGTCCTGGGATAAATCTCAACCTTATGGTATCGCATTCCTTGGCGGTCAGGAGCTCCTTAAAGCTCAGACTCTTTAACTGCCAGTTATGTGGGGATGTAAGTGGTAATCTGCCCACTCCTTCTCTTTTGTCAGAGACCAGCTCTAGGGCTGATGCACACACATCCCTGGGAGGACTTTTGCCTGCCCTCTAACTTCTGTGCTTCTTCAGCAAAGCTTCTGGAAACATATTTTTGACAAACTTCCTCCTTTAAAAATAAGCAAGCAACAAGAAGAGTCACTCTAATGAGGTCCTTTATCCTCTAGCTGCAAGTGACAGACCCTTCTGAAGCTTCAAAAGGCTATTCAAAGAGACTACTGGCTTTGCCCAGGATCTCCAGTAAACCATACTTGCAGGGACAAAATGCAAACCTGAGGAACAGAGTGCAAAAGCCAGAAGCCCAGGGGGAGATGGCAAGGCCACCAGTGAAATGTTCTGTTATATGTGGTCAGCGGTTCAGCCGTGTATGTCGGCTCCCCCCAGCTAGAGAAAGTAAGGTTGCGATGGCCCGTGGAGATGATCTCTGCTACCAGGGACACCTAATAAAACCACACTCCCTTTAATACGTGTAGATTTTAATAGTCCCATAAGCGAGTATCCTCAACCTCTGGCCCACAAGTTGTTATGGGCAGGTTTTACTTTTCCAGCTCTCTTCATTCACTATTCTTTCACAGATGTGTCTTTACTGATTCTGTTATTGTATTGGTTCGCTCTAAACAAGGGCACACTTGCAGTTTCCAGGCTCTAACCATGTTTTAAAAAGAAACAGACAATAATTCAAAACTCTTGGCACTCAATCTTTGCTGGGCATTTTAACCGCTACAAAGCAGGAATGCTGTTAACAGTGATTAAATGTGATAAGGTAAAGTTCCTGCCGCAACACACACCATGCACGCCAGCCCTCTCATCCTTTCCCTGCACTATGCCTTCTTCCTTGTCCTTGTCTAAGAGGCTGGCTTCCCTCTCCCCAGCTCAGTCAGGACACGTCTACCACTAGGAAAGAACTCCCAGCAGTACCCCTCCCCCTACACACACTTACAAATCAGTCACTTCCATGAGCAAGAACACAGGGGTTCCAAAGGGCACCACGCAAAGGAATCAGTCACCAGAGCTCCTCCACTGGGAACTCGGAGCTCTCAGGGAGGAAACTGAGACGCAGCAACCACTACTAAGATTTTCCCATGGTGCAATGCAACTTCCTCAACTTTTCCGGGCCCACAATTTCCAAAGAAACAGAGGGGGAAGGCGTTGGGTACAATTTACAGCAAATCTGGGAAAGTTAAGAGACTGAGATCCAACCGGCGAGAAGAAAACGGGTCCGGCCACAAAGTGAAATGGCACGAGTGTTCCTGTAACAGGGTGACAGGAATCAAAACTTAGGCTTTCTGCCCTTGGCCTATAGTTCCTATTGCCGACTGCAGCCTCCGGCTCCCGAAGGGCTAGCCTCCGGTGAGGAGCTTAGAAAAGGGGCTGACTGACATCCTTCGTGGTGTCCTCCGACCTCCTCCCCGCCGCCGGACCTGGTGGCCTCCGGGCGACTCTGCAGCGGTGGCAACCAGGAGAGGGAAGACAAGGCTTTCAGCGAGGGGTTATTGTTCCCAGAGAATTCGGGTCAGGCGTCGGCCCCCTCCCCCGGTGTCACCCGCGCCACACAGGTAGAGCTGTGGCGGAGACCGGAGCCTCCGCCGCCACCTTGGTGAGCTGCAGCGAGTGGGGGTGGCCAGCGGGCAGGAGGGGCCCCTCGGGACTGGCACTCACCCGCGCCCTCTGCGGACGGCGGCGGCCCGACGACGCCGTTCAGGTAGAGAATGGGCAGCAGGTGAGGCTGCGTCTTCTCCAGCGCCGCACGCAGGTCCTGGAAGTGGTCCTGCTCCTTGGCCAAGAGCAGCTGGAGCAGCAGCTCCGCCTTGGCTCCTCCAGCCTCTTCTTCGTCCAGCTGCCGCCGCTCGCCCGGGCTCAGCGCTCCCGCGGCCTCCAGCAGCCCGAGCACGGCCTCCACCTCGGTCATGGCCTGGGCCAGGCTCTGCTGACACTGGGCGAGCAGCTCCCGGCGCTGCGGCTCCATAGTGGCGGCCCGCGCCGCGCCGCCCCGCCCCGCCCCGCCGGACGGCGCCGGGGATCCCTGAGGCTGGCGGGCTGCACGCCGAGCTGGGCGGCAGCCTAGCTCACCGGGAGCTGCGAGGCGGCGGGGCCCATGGGCCGGGGCCTGCGAGCCTCGGGCCCGGAGGATCGGGCAGCTCTCAGCGGCCGCCTCCCGGGCTCCGGGGCGCAGCCATGTTGGCTGCGGCGGCGGCGGCGGGACTGGAAGAGGAGGAGGAGACGGAGGAGGAGAAGAAGGAGGCGGAGGTGGAGACGGCGGCCGGGGCTCGCCCCGAGGCCTGGCAGCAGCCAAGCATGCTCCCTCCCGCTCCGCCTCCGAGCCCACCGCCTCGCCGCACACTGCGAGCGATCGACCGCCGCGGGGCGGACGCGGGGGTGGGGGGGGGGGGGGGAGGTGGAAATCGGCGGCCGCCCGAGGGCTCCTGCCCGGCTCACCGGGGCTCGCACGCCGCGTCCGGGCCAGGAGTACCCCGCCCCTCCGGCCTCTCTCCTCCCCGGCCCGCCTTTGGCCTGGAGGAGGTGGCAGGCAACTAAAACACTGGGAGGAGAGGTAGGGCCCCGCCCCTTCCCTGGGGGCCGTTAGCCCCCCCAAGCTATTGGGAGAAATAATCCCCCACCCGGTTCACAAACAGCCCCTAATCCAGGGTCTCCTGAAAATTGCAAAATAAACCGAGGACTCAGTGAGCCCCCCCTCCCGCCCCCAACTAAAGCCGCCTATCTCCCACTTAGGACCTCTTCAGAATCGGTCCCCATTCCAAGATTTTCTTAGAAAATCTCCCAATAAAATCCCCTAACCTACTGCACAGTTAATAGCATTCTTCTCACCTGTATCTGAGCTCCAGAATCAAAGGCCGTTGGATGTTTGCAGGAGGTGGGCTTTTGGAGATTTCTGGCAAGTGCTCACACACACACACACACACACACACACACACACCCGTGTTACCCCAGGATTATTTCAGTTACTTTACTTCTAATGACTTCAGCCCACCAACATAAACCTTTTCTTACAGCCCTCTGTATACAGCTACTTAACCCTTGACTGCATCCAAAGCAATCGCCCCCAGCAACCCCCACACTCCTGGTGTGGGTCGGCATCCCAGAGGAGACTGCAAACTTCTGCATTGCAACCACTGACTCTCTTGCTGAGATTGGCCAAGAACTCTTTCTATGGCACTGTCACCCAAAGCAAATGTCTTTAAACTTTCCTGCTTCTTTGACCAAAGCCCAGTTTATTTCTGGGAAACAAACTATCATGGCTAGAACACCATGGATAGAGCACCAGGCTTTGCCCTGTAAGTTTCCCAGTGCCTCAGGACAATGTTCATGGTGGAAGAAAACCAGCTAACTTTTCATCTGGTTCTTCTCAGGAGAAAGGGGTTGAGAAGGGCATCAGACCAGGGTCCTCAGCTGTGTCTTCATGAGTAAATTCAACAGGGTCACTGCAACACTGAAATAATCTCAGCATTATTGTGAGCATGTGATTTCTGGGCTGGGATTGATAGCTTTGTCAATTTTTGAAGGCTTCTGTAACCAAACATGGACTCCAATATGATGGAACAAATCTATTAACAAAACACATAAGTTCTCCCTTTGTGTTGATAGACTGGGCTTCTGTTGTTCTGGCAAATACCATGACCAAAAGCACTTTAGGGGAAGAAAGGTTATATTTCCTCTTACACTTCCAGGTCGCAGTCCCTTTGCTGAGAGAAGTCAAGGTAGGAAATGTCATTCAGAGCCAAGGAAGTACAGGAGGAACCATGGAGGAATGCTGTGTGCTGACTGGCTTATCAGGCTCAGGCTCAGCTAGCTTCTTCATACAGCCCACGATCACTTGCCCAAGGGATGGTTCCTCCCACAGTGGGCTGGGCTCTCCTACCCAATTATCAATCAAGATATGCCCCTGTCACAGGTATGCTCACAGACCAACCTTTTTTAAAAAGACAGTCACTCCACTGAGACTCTGTTTTCAGATTATTCCAAGCTGTGTCAGGTTGACACAAGGTTTTAGGTAGTTTTGCACAGACTCCCTGGGTCTTTGCTCTCTCCTGCCCCTAAAAAACCTCCTCTCTGGCTAGCCACTACTTAGTCTGAGAGCAGCCACAGATCCTACCTCATCTGGATTAATAGATATCTCGGTAAGGGAGGAAGGTGGAAGTGGGCTGCAGAGGAAGAAAAGTGAAAATTAGATACTAATATAATTATTGTTAGAACAAACTGTAAATTCCACATCTAAGGGTGCTTGAGACAGAAGAGACATAGTCTCCCGGGAACTCCCAGAGGGCAGTAAGAGAATCGTGTGTGTTCCAGGGAGCCTTCCTAAGAAACAAGGAGGAAGCAAAGTTGGCAGGAGGATCTGGGCAGTAGTGCACACGACTTTCATCAAGTCCTTTATAAGATGCTCTTGAGGTCTATGTGAGATATAAATCTAGATAAGGGAGTTTGTGGATGTATTTAATGTTTTAGGGCTCATTTAACCAACCACCTTGGCACAAACTCATTTCTGTAGCTTTCCCCTCCCTAGAAAGGGGGTCTTTACAGGCATAATCAACTTAAAATGAGGCTGCATTGGCTTACAGTAGACTGGTGTGCTTACAAGAAGAGGGAGGGCTGGTAAGCTGGCTCAGTGCTGCCAAGTCCAATGGCCTGAATGGGATTCTTGGGACCCACAAGGCAGAAAGTGAGAACCAGCTCCCATAAATTGTCCTATAACCTCCACATAGACTATGGCCTATGGTGTGTGTGTGTGCGCGCGCACACACATACACACTTGGTTTTTCTTTTTTTTTTTTTTGGTTTTTCGAGACAGGGTTTCTCTGTGGCTTTGGAGCACACTTGGTTTTTCAAGACAAGGTTTCCCTGTGGTTTTCTCTGTGTAGCCCTGGCTGTCCTGGAACTCACTCTGCAGAACAGGCTGACCTCAAACTCACAAAGATCCACCTGCTTCCGCCTCCTGAATGCTGGGATTAAATGTGTGTGCCACTACCTCCTGGCCAAAAATAAAACCTTTAAAAAGGAAAATGTGCACTCAGATACCCATGGGGCAGATAGTATATGAGGGAGAAGCAGGGGCTGCAATAATCTATGTACAATCCAGAGGAAACGACAGAGCCACCAGGAGCCTGGGACAAGGCCTGGGACAGTGTTCTTCGTGGCTTCCAGAAGGGACCCACTTGGGAAGCCCTTTGTTTTGGACTTTTCCCCTTAAGAACTGTGAACCAGTAAGCCTTCATTGTTTCAAACCCCAGTTTGTGTCCAGCTGTTAGGGAAGCTCTTGGAAACAGACACACCAATCACAGTGAGAGGTATGAAGGAAAAGATGGTGTCTGCATTTTCGAAACCACTGGTCACCTCACTCTTCAACTGCCTGAGAATTTCTCTCTCAGTTTACCCACCTTTCTTCCCTTTGATCCTTAAAAAGCAGGGGAGAGTCTCTCTTCCATGAGCAGAGCCCCTCCGTCCTCTGTAACCCCTCCCATGCACAGGAGCACACCCATCCTCTCCACTTCTGCTCTGTCAGGCCTCCTCCCTTTGTCCACACAGGACTGGGGCTCCCCGTTCTCAGGGGTCCTCCTTTGTCCTTTCTTGTTTTCTCTCGGGAAGGAATCATTACCTGGCCTCACTTACTGTGCAACAGTACATCATGGCTGGCACTTTGCAACCTGGCTCTGACGATAACTCATCACAGAAAGTGATTATCTGGGATGACAAGGCGACTCAGCCATTAAGAGCGTTAGCTGCTCTTGCAGAGAACCGAGCGTGGTTCCCAGCACCCACAACTGCTCACAGATGCCTGCAACTCCAGCTCAGGGGATTAGCACCCTTTTCTGACCTTCACAGGCACCTGTACGCTAACAAAACAAACAAAATTTAAAATGGATGCAATAACCCTGACTCTCCCACTAACTGAATCCACCTCGTAGGTCCTTCCAGCATCTCCCGTTCCTCCTGCCACTACCTTCCTGCCCTTCCTCTCACCACCCCACTGATGCTCCTGTTTCCGTAGCTGGCTCTAGTCCTATACCTATCTCCTCATCCACCTTCCCTCATACAGAGAAAGCACTGGGAGCTTGACAGGGCAATTGCTGCCTGTATCCCCAAGTGCTGACTTACCTTTCCTGAGCCCTCCTGTGTACCTTGGGGGTACACACCACTCTTTAGTAGAGACCTTAGGAAAATTAAGTGATAGGATAGCTACAAAACCCTTGACTAGGCCGGGCGTTGGTGGTGCACGCCTTTAATCCCAGCACTCGGGAGGCAGAGGCAGGCGGATCTCTGTGAGTTCCAGGCCAGCCTGGTCTACAAGAGCTAGTTCCAGGACAGCCTCTAAAAAGCCACAGAGAAACCCTGTCTCAAAAAATCAAAAAAACAAAAACAAAAAAAACCCTTGACTAGATCTAGCATCCGGCAGGCATAGGAACCCCCACCACAGCCCTCAGGAGGCAACTTCTGCTGGTCAGAGTGCTCGACTAAAAGGCTTGCTTACAATGAACCAGCAGGGTAATACTTTATCGCTCTCTGTGCCTCAGTTTTCTTGTGGGCAAAATAGAGGTGACCATGACAATAGTATCAGACTGGTGCTCAGTCTAAGACAGGTGTTCTCTCTCCCTCTGAGAGAAAGACTGCCTGGTGTCAGGTGGCATGAAGTAACACGTTTTGCACAGATGATTTCGGTTTCATGAATGAAGAGTTACAGACTCAGGACTGAAAGAAAGATTTCCCTTTATTTAGCATGCATTCTGGTAGTATGTTCCCTGCTCTGTCTCCCTACCACTATCCCTTTTGGTGTGTAATGAAACTCACATACAAGTCACTGAGGAAATGTGCGTCTTCGGCATGTTACATCCCACTGGATTTTTTTTAAATTACTCAATGGACATATGAATGAATGAGAGAACTAAAGTGTTTAACATTGAAGGCCCACTTTTGGTGGATGAGGTATGTAGCCTAGTGAAGTATGTACTTTCTCTATAAGTTTGATCCCTAGCACCATAAAGAAACAACAATGAAAATAAAAATAATTCATAATTAAAAGCCCTACAAGGAATCCAGGGAAGGAAACCACCACAATAGGGAGCATCAGAAGCAACCCAAGGGAGGGTTACAAATTCTCTGATGCCCCATCAAGTGGTGGTAGATTGAAAGCTTGCCACAGGACCAAGAATTCTTCAGAGCAGCCACTTCTGGGCTGGAGACACCAGCAGCATGCCTCTTCCCTGCCTAGCCACACAGAGACAGTTGGGCTAGGGAGTCTGCTAAGGGTGCCCCTGCTCAGAAATGCAGGCCTGCTCTAAGGTCAGGCAAGCAGAGCCTTGGGGAGAATCTCCTCAGTACTCTGCAGGCATGGGCCTGCCTAGGAGTGTTAGCAC